TTGGCTGGTTTGGCCTCATCAAGCGTAGACACCGACGGTGGCGCGGCGTTCCTGAGCGCTCGACGCATGCATTTGCATGGACCACGCAACACCCGGATTTGAAACACAACACAGGATTCGAATGCAAGTCTTGCCCTCTCCCTCTTCTTGCTCCGATAAACGATCGGCGGGGCCCTGACTTCAGTGTTGAGTCATGTATCACATCGTAGGTAGCGTCAAGATCTTTGCACGAGTTTCTTATAAATCCACCATCACTCGATCCTCTCTCCAGCCTCGACCCGATACTTACACAACCTGGTCCGTGGGCTTTCTACAATGCTCCAGGCCCTCCTTGGCAAATGTATGACGCACTCCTCGGCCTGACCCTCTTTCCCCTTCTCGACAGAGGCTCTACAAGGGGTGCAGACTAGTCACATCTCCACAAGCAAGCTTGAGCCCATTCTCAACATGGGTCCGTCTGCAATGGCGGAAACATGGGTTCCAGGTACAGACGGAGGTCTTAGTCCAACACAGAATCCGGCACCCCCACAAGAAGTTGCCGGAGTGGGCAAAGACGCTCCAAAGATGAGCTGTCTGCCATGGTGCGCGAGCCTTCCGCCCGTCTAGGTCTTCTCCCAGCAATCTCTTGCTCACGTTCAGCCCATTACACGCGCAGCCGAAAACGCAAGTCGAAATGTGATCGCAACGCTGTGCGTACGTGCGGCTGGAGCGCGGAGCGAGTCATCCCCCCGTCTTCTCACTTTAGCTCCCTCCTACTCTTGCAGCCTTGCTCGTCTTGCGTCTTGCGCGGCTCAGAGTACCTTTGTTACACCTGCGATGAGCTTCCCGAAGGGGCACCGACGACCGGCAGGAACAAAGGGACATCGCGCCCATCTGCTGGACAGCGCGCCATCAGCAACGTCTCGCCGGCTGGGTCGTTAGTGACACGAAAGAACGAGTATGACAGCGCTGGCACCGGGGCTCTCTACGGAGGCGCAAAGCGCAAGCGAAAATCTTCGAGCGCGCTTTCTCCCCGGATAGACGCACAACGATGCCATGCGGCAAGTGCGGAACCGCAGGGGCGTACAAGTTTGCCGTCTGGTAGCCCGCAACAGTCAGAGGCGATCCTTGCCGGTCGACTTCAAGCACAAGAGGTGCTCAATGCCCAACTCACGTCGGAGGTCGCCACTTTGCGTCAGCTCGAGTGCGAGCGCAGAGTTCTTTTCGAAGCAGATGCGGTATCGCACCGTGACATTGCTCATCTGCTGCCCGACCCGCTCGAGACCATGACGGTCTGTGCCAAGGTAATTTACAGACACATGTGGTCCATACCTGGCATTCACTGGCGATCCTTTCAGACCACTCTCGAGGCCCTTGTCTTATACGACAAGCCCGTGCCGCCACTCTTCGTCGCTTGTCTTTTTGCGACCATCAGTATGTCGAGATACCTGCCATCCTCACAAGGCGTTCAAGCAGATTTGCTGCCGCGTCAGTATCCTCAGTACGCGGATCTCGCGGGACAAATACTCGATCGACGTCTAGGCAGCGTCACGACGTCGGCCGACAACCTTTTCCAGCGCTTGCAAACCGAGACGATCTTGGTGATGTATCATGGCGTACACTCGGAACGAAGCGACATTGCGTCGGCATACTTTCGCCTAGGCAACGCTTTGCGCTGCGCGAGCGCTTTGCGCCTCTTCAATGAGACGAAGTGGCTCCGACCGGTCAGGTGAGTGGCTATACTTCTTGTCGTGCCAGGTTGTGTCAGATTTTACCGTCGCCCCGCCCTTCGCAGCCCGTTTAAGACTGAAATGTACCGACGTGCGGCATGGCAGTTGTTTGCCTGGGATCGTTGTGAGTAAGGAACGCATTCCGCAAGCGCTCGTGCAGGCTCACAGCGATTCCAGTGCTTTGGCCCAGGGTTCGCTCTTCGCCAGCGACGACCTTGCGACATCAGCGCCGAGTCTTTCAAGGTTTGCAGAGTGCGTTGCTGATCTTCATGGAGCTCAAGCGCAATGCCCAGTGCTGATCGCGGAAGCCGCACTGCTCCTCAGGCCGAATACCTGCCAGACGATCGGTACGACGTCCACACCGGTGCTGTGCTCCCTGTTCGGCCACTAAACGAGGTTTCCAACGACATTGCAAACGTGTTCATGCATGACTATCAGGTCGCCATGCATGGAAGCTCGAACGTCGTGTCGAAAATCCTCAGCTTCGTACACGTCATGGCGGAGCTCCCCGCTGGCGAACGTTATTCCAAAGCCATGTCGCTCGACGAAGAGTGCGTCAAAGTTCGAACTGAGCTGCCCGAGTACTTTCGCTTTGACAATGTGCAAAGAGGTAGAGCGCTAGGCGATCCAACCGTGCTGCGCTTGGTCACGCCTGCACTTATGATGGAGAGCCAGAACCAGTATGCACGCAACGTCCTCCTACGACCATTCTTGACGGATAGAGCTGCACCCGTTCGACTTCGCATCGGAGCCCTCGACTCGGCTGGTGCTGTCACGAAGATGCTACCAATGATGTGAGCACCTTCGTCTCGAAGCCTTCGCCTCACTTGCCGATGCAGCCACAATTCCCCTGCGTACAGGAAAGACTTTAGTCTCGATCACCACCGCAATGTCCCCCTACTGCTTCATTGTCAGGAACTCTACTCTGGTGAGCCTGAGAGATGCATGCCGAAACGACTCGCGCGCACTAAAGGTTCGCGCTTTTTGCAGCTGCCACTACTTTCATCGCTCTGCTGGTTCAAGATGATGGAGACGATCCAGTTTTGGATAGCTTTGACAAGTCTTGGTCATTGGAACAAGTTCGTGAGGTGAGCAAAGACGCGCCTCTGCCCAGAGGACGCCGAAACGGAGGGCTGACGCGAAGACCTTGTGCGGAAGATTCTCAAACTTTTCGAGGAGCGAGCGCCTCACAACGAGCTTGCCGCTGTTGGTGAGTCATTCGCTTAACCGACATGGGCTGTATCGACTAGCACTTTGATGTCGCGCTTGTTCTCGCAGGTTACAAATTGTTGGATGCTCTTTGCAAGTCCAAACCGAAGCTGAGGAAGCGTGGGTAGACTCGACCACTCTCATCAGCTAAACCGTGTCCCTGACTCGTTGGGAGTCGTTCGACCAGTCATGAATCTTGTTTCATCAGTACCGGAGTCCTCTCACGCTCAAGCTCGACCTCAAGCTAGTAGGGGGCCTGTCGATGCTGCCGACGAAGACGCAATGCTTGCGGCTCTCTCCCATGGCGACATCATTCCTCAGGTAAGCAGTTTGATGTAGGTCCCCTATCGGTTGCGGCTCAAGGCTACAATTTTGGCACATGACAGACTTCGACGAACGTGCGGCCACCGACTCGGCATGAATTCACTCCTTACGTTCTTCCTGGAAATGTCGATGACTGGCTTTGGAGACAAGGTCCTTCGCAGCTCGACGTCATCTTCTCCCAGGTCCGCGGATCAATGCGCGAAGGGCAAGAACCCTGGATAGACTCTTTCGGTCTCGAAGAGTGTATGCTTCTTCCAGAATCATTTGACAGCATTACTCGAGAGCTCGACTTGAACATCTCTTCCGACCCAGCATTCGCAGGCATGGACCGCAATCCCATCACGTCTTCGAACGATGTCGCCCTTGCGACTCAGACAGAAAACGGTCGTGGGCTGCATTCGGGCAGCAGTGCTACTCAATTTCCCCTTCTGCCACTACCGCAATCTGCACCCCCGTCTGCTGTTTTGGTGCACCCAGATCAAGCCGCACTGCCGATGCTGCAATCCCCTCAACACTGCTTTGTTCCTCTCACTGATAATGCCCTGCAACTCTCGCCAAATACTCAGTACCGCCATCCTCTGACACATGATACATGTGCACTCCCGCCCCTCCCACACCTGGAGTGGAGACCAAGTGGTGACAACTCCAACACTGGCTGGGAGCAGCACAAGACGCCAACGCCTCACGCGCCTCACGCGCCAGCTTCGCCCGAACAACACTTTGGGCCTTAGGTTCAAGGGATCACAGCCTCACGACCGCCCTAGCGACGTGATTAGCGACGTGCCCTTTACCATGCAGTAGCTGACTGAAACGATACAAACATCCCTAAACACCAAGCGCATTCAGACAATGCGAGAGGACGTTAATGAAATCGACCATTTGGCGGGCAGAGGGGACGCGCCCTATCAACTTTGCAAGTACAAAGGATGTCAAGATGCGCGTGATCCGAACGGCAAAGATTGTTCGCCGGCGCACGTCTGAATCTGGTCTTTCGTTTCGAGCTAGGTGCCTTAATTGGTATGGTGAATGCTCCATCCCTTTCCGAGGCGCTCGATAACTTCTGGTACATGCGTCTGGGTGACGACGTGCGCGGCGATATCGCCCGCATTCTTGGGGTCGATTTGGCTAGTGTGAAGGGCATAGCACAGAAGAAGTAAGCCTCTGCACCGATGCTCGCACTAGCCAAGCACATCATTCGCTCACTCCACTTCGTTGCCAGACACGCATTGACCCACACCGTACGTCTTCGATTCGTCTTTCATGACGCGAAAGTAGTTGTTGAAAGCCAAGTCTTTGTCTTGAAGGACGAGCGAGCAAGCACCTTGCCACCACGCTTTGGCGTCTGCGCGGCGACCTGCGGGGTATTCAATCCCTGCAAAGTAGAAGGGTGACGCTGTCAGCATCACGGAGTCGCTACTCGCACCTCGTTTCACCCGCTTCGCGCGCATCGGGTCGCGACACTCACTGAATAGGCGCCTGTTCGGCATTTGTGCCTGGACATAGGTGGCCATCGCGAAGGCAATGACCAGCGAAAGGATGGGAGCGATGGAACGCATCTCTGATCGAGGAGGTGGCGGCAAGTGTGCGAGGATTGGGAGGGATGCTTGGATTTTGGAGGCTAAGGGTCGACTTCTGCACGTCCGGAGGGCACACTGTT